CCATTTCAGGACTCGGACCTGGTACTGAAACCTTTAAATGCATTCCCTAGAGCTATAACTCTTTTCATCTAATTACAAATCCTCTAAGCAATCTAGTTCCCCTTAAAACAGTGAACTTCAACTAAAATCGGTTTAAATTGTCAACAGCTGAAGGAAAAATATATATAATAAAAAGTATAATCCAGGGCTTTGCTCTAATGTAGACATGTGTAATGGAGCAGGTGAACTTTAGATCAAAATATGTTTAGGTCATGCAGGGGTGTAGGAAGGGGGGTGCGGTCTGCCCCAGGTGTCATCCTTGACGGGGGTGACAAAATGGCAGCACTTACAGCAGAGCCTGGGAGTGATGCGGTGGCTCGGGGCCCTGCCCAAAATGGCAGCATGGGGCTTGCATCCGCCAGGTGGACCCTGTGGGCAGCTCGCCATGCCACCCCCCTGGGTGGATCACTGGGCCGCCGCCCCTGGGCAGATCACCGTGGTGCCCCCATGGGCGGCTCACCCCACCCCTGCCGCTCCAGGTGCCAGAGCAGCTAGCTACACCACTGAGGTCATGAGTTATGGTATATTGTATGATGAGATATACCTATGTTTATCTCGTGCCATGTTATGTGATGCTTTTAATGTTTGCCTGTGCCAACCAGGATCAAATGTATTGCATCATACAGATGTAAAAGGAAGTACCTTCTGAATTATCTAAGAACCAAACACCCTTGAACATTGTCTCTTAACCAACATGATAGAAAAAGCATGAAATGTGATTCAGTCATAGGTATTTGATATTTCATATGGACTGTGCCCTTACTTATACTTGGCATAGATTGTAGATATATGGTGTCACTCTACCCTTGAATGAAATGGGAATGCTAGTAAGGTTGAATGGCTTGAAACAGCAATGTCTGTATCCTATTTTTAAGCCACTCCGCTATATTTCTAAAAAGATTGTAAACTATTGTAATTTAGAACAAGATCTTTTAGACAGGGTGAGAGCTTAGTGAATTTGAACACGCCTTCAAAACAACTGTTTTAGAGCAGTGTCTAAATCGTGAATCATAAGCTCCTGTCAATGCTTTGCCTTGTGATTGTGAATACTCATGAGAGCAAATTTGCATTTCAGAAATGAAAAAAGTTTTCTAGTCATATGAAACATTGGCAAATCAGAGAGTTTTCTCTGCTCCTTCCCATTGGAAGAAGTAGAAAAGCTGAGTGGTTGGGTGAAATATGAAAACTGGTGTAGTACAGTTAATTTTAATTAAAGTGAAATTAATCTTGTATGGCATATATACAAGAAATATTGATTTGAGATGTGTGCATACTAAATCTTATATTCATGCTTTAAAATTAATAGAACCTTTTAAAAAGTGCACACACTTTCACATCACATGTGTACATAAAAAAGTTCAATACAATTTTATGCATATCTACTCTAAATTGAGTTCAGTATGACTTACCTGGCAGTAAGTGTGTATATTTAAGATGCTTTTAATAAAAAGTGGCACACTGAACTAAGCAGGACTTAGTTTTAATGAACTTGCCTGGGATTGTACTGCAAGTATTTTGAAGGCCCTCTTTCCCATTTTTTTCTTCAGTGTTAAATAAGAATTATTAAGCATTGCTCTGATGGAAAAAGGGATTTACTTTCCCTACTCCCTTGTGTTGCAAGGCACATGAGGCCACCATTTTACTGAAGCTAAGCCAATTTGGGTCTGGTCAGAATCAATTATATTCCCCCTAGATGTTTTTGATGCAGTCTGCAGCTCTGTTACTTAATATGAGTTCACACTTTGTATTCTTTCTCTTGAAATGTGAAAACACAGAGTCCAGAAGGAAGAAGCACTTATAGAGAACTGGCCTACTGAAGTGCTTTTTAAACTAAGCTTGTTTCCTTTAAAAAAGAAATTAGGAAGGTGTTGTGCTGATTTTTCAGGTAAGAGGATTTAAGGAGGCACAAATTGGTTTTTTTATATAAAAGTAAAGGAGTCATCAGATTCTATTCCCCGCTCCAAGGAAGAGCATACTGCAGAAGCTGTATAGAAATATTTAACCATCATTTGGAATTGTAAACATTTTATGTTGTTAAGCATATGATGGCAAAAGATTAGCAATGAAATCCTAAACATGTCTACTCAGAAGAAAATCTAGCTTAGTTCAACAGGGCTTTCTCAAAGACAAGTGGATATAGAACTCTATACCTGTTTATTTAGGTGTAATCCCTATTGAATTCAGTGCAACATATTTCTGAGGAGACATGTGTTTGATTCTGCTGAAACGCTGCAATCCTCTACACATTTACCTGAATGTAAACACCACTGTACACACTGGGACAGACATACTATTGACATGTAAGAGGAAAATATAGATTGATAGTATATCCTTTTGTTTTCAGCAGACATTGTAGCATATTTGGACACATATTTGGAGCTTCATAGCTATAGGGCGTTGTCGTCCTATTTAATGAACAAGGAAATGCTTTTGCATTCGCATAAGGCAATCCTGAAGCTGTTTTCTCTTTAGTCGAACAGAAATCTCTTGTAACGATAGGGCTTTGAGTTATGTTTATTGATGGGCTTCAAGCATAATATACTATTTTTCTTCTAAGAAGATTTAAGCATTGGAAAGTGCATTTGTGGTTTTAATCAACTAATGCTCTTTGAGTTCCGAGGACAATCAAAACACACTGTTGGTTTGTAGCATTACAAGTGGCACTTCCAACATAATGTTATGAGTTTGGTGGGGGGAAGCAGGCCGTATGTCAAGGTGGCAAAGGGGTGGGGCCTGGATGGGGCCCCTCCCCCAACTTATGAATAGTTACAAGGACACGGCTAGAGTTGAGGGTAGGGAGTTTTTGGCAGTGATGTGAGCTCCAGGTAAAAGCAGCAAGCTGGAGGGATAGTCAGAGCAATATTTGATTTCTGTTTGAATCCGAAGCAGCAGTTATGTGGGAAAAAAGACCCTCTTTTGGTGTTAATGCTGTGAACCCCTCTGTTGTAGGCTCAGGTTGTATATATGTGTAAATAAACCATTAATAATAATAATAATAATAATAATAATAATAATTTTTTCTACTCTGCCTGTCTGGCTAGGTTTCCACAGCTTCCAACAAAAGATTAAAAATACATTAAAACATCAGTCATTAAAAACTTCCCTAAATAGGGCTGCCTTCAGATGTCTTCTAAATGTCATATTGTTGTTTATTTCTTTAACCTCTGATGGGAGGGTGTTCCACAGGGTGGGCGCCACTACCAAAAAGGCCCTCTGACTGGTTCCCAGTAACCTCACTTCTCTCGGTGAGGGAACCGCCAGAAGGCCCTTGGCGCTGGACCTCAGTGTCCAGGCAGAACGATAGGGGTGGAGATGCTCCTTCAGGTATACACAGCCTCTGCTATGCCTCATTCCTAAAAGGAAACGCAGACCCTGAGTAAACATCTGAAACTCCTGGAATCTCACACCGCTTGGAGATTGGGTTGGTGTGCAACAATACAGTGTATTCCCTCTTCCTTAAGAGAAGTGGACCTTTTTAGATTAAATTTGTAATACATTTCCGAGGAGGGGGTGTTTCACAAGTGCAAATTGAATAAAGCAGCTTTCCTCAACTTTGTGCTTTCCAGATGCTGTGACACTCCTATCAACTTTAGCTAGCATGGCCAACAGCCACGGATTATTGTAAGGTGCAGAGAGGGGTTAGCAAGGTGTAAAATGGGGGTTGGTGAGGTGTGAAGAGGGAGAGGGAAGGAGGCTGGTGAGGAGTAAAAGGAGGGGTGGATGGGGTTGGCAAGCAAAGTGAGCAGGGCTGTAGAATTGCAAAGTAATCATATACTTTGGGTTGTGTACAATTCTAATCGTACTCATAGTAAACCCATTAAAATGAATGGATATGACTAACTTAGGTGCATTAGTTGCAGTGAGTTGGCTCAGAGTAAACTTTAATTGCATTCAGTCCTGTGTGTCCCTAGTTAAATACATGGTCGGCATGTGTTGCCTGTCTTTTACATTGTGACACAAAGTGTGGTTTTGATTATTTTTGTTGCCAGATTTCAGCAGTGGAATAAATCTCATTTGAGTTCTAACTTAAAGTTGCATTGACAGGTGCATTTCATTAGCACCTCAAGATCTTCTGTGTGTTATTTAAGGAGTACCTTATTATATAGAAATGCTAAGAGAGAGGTGCTCAGCACTTACAACATGCATGTTCTGCAGCTCATTAATTGCAACTTTATGAGGGTTTAATAGGTTTTACTGTATAATACTACATACAATAATGACTTGTTTTTCTGGAGTACTAAACACTTGCAGCTCCCATTGACTTAAGTGGAATTGGTAGCTTCCCAGGCACTTAGTAAATCAAGCCACAAATAACGATATTAATGTACCGTCTTCATATTATATTCTGTCCCTGCCAGCTCATGACTGAATGATCTCAGTTTCCTTCTTTATTCCCAAAGTGTTGCATGTTCCTGAGAATCTCCCAAGAAAATGAGAATGCGCTATATGCACTAACTGCTGCTAAAATAAACATGTAGTAAATTAAAATGCAATATACTTCCTCTTCTGATTCATGTTCTTTTGAGCGATGAGGCAAGAAGCACTGGAATGAAATCCTTGGAGAAATATTACTAAATGCCCCAAAGATTTGCATATTTAAACAATTTATTCAGCTATCTGCTGAATCTTTCATGACCTGGTGAAATGGAAAATATAAATCATGGAGTAATTTAGTACAAATGGAGTTTCTTCACCAAGAGATAAAACTTAACTGTATATTTGTGCAGTTCTGTTAAGCACAGATTTTTCCCCATTTTAAAATTTAATGAAATTAGCAGTTTATTCTGTTGCCATTCTCACTAGCCCAGTGTTCTCCAACCCCTGGGCCGCGGACCGGTGCTGGTCCGTGGATCAATCGGCACCGGGCCGCCCAAGGAACTTCAACTCATTTCACTGTGGCAGGCGGCCGAGGTGCAGAGCATTGCGCCCTCTCAAGCCCGCCCATTGTGTGACAATAGCGAATGAAAATTCGCTATTGTTACACTGATGCTCCTCCTGGCCAATCAGGGAGCGGGTCCTCCTGCTTCCTGATTGGCCGAAAGGCAAACCTCACGGCATTGGCCGAGGAGGAGGTGCCACGGGAGGACTGAGGATTCGAGGTCGGAGACGCGGGGACTGAAGAGAAGCTGCCGTGAGGTAAGTGCACGGAGGGGGGGACTCAGCACTATCAAACGGAAAGAGGAGCAGCAATGGTTTTATTAGAATGCCCTCTCATTCACCCAGGCCTATTGCACTTATTTAGGTCAACAACTCCTGGGTCGAATGTGTTTGTGCAGGTTCAGGCATAAGTGCACGGAGGGGGGGTAGGGGTTCTCTGCTATTGAGGAGACTCAGCACTATGGCGCGATGATCTCTGTATTGAAAGGGGGAATGCTGGGGCATCTCTGTATTGAAAGGGGCACGCTGGCATCTCTGTGTTGAAAGGGGCACGCTGGCATCTCTGTATTGAAAGGGGAACGCTGGCATCTCTGTATTGAAAGGGGGCACAGTCATCTTTTGTGATTTATATATATATTTCACAGTTATTTTGATACACTGGTCATATATTTAAAACACTGATCACATTTTTGCGTTGATAGTTTTTTTGATTTACATTCGGATTTAGGTGACATCTGGAGCTGAGCGGTTGCTAGCAGCAGTGGAGTGAAGAGAAAGAGAAGGTATCACTCTTCTAGCTCTTCTATCTGTTCACCGGTACTTGTGTGTACTGACAGGTTATTGTGTCTGCTTTAACCCACAAATTAGCAAAAATGAGTATGAAACAGACATCGTTAGAAAGTTTCCTTGGGAAGAAAAAAAGACCCAGTGAACAGACAGAAGAAGAGCCTTCAACATCAAAGAAACATGCAACTTTTAACAGACAATACCATGAGTCCTATTTGAAATATGGATTTATCGGGACAGGTGATTTCCACGCATCAAAACCGCTCTGCATAGTTTGCGGTGAGAATCTCTCTAATGAGGCAATGAAACCTTCAAAACTGCTTCACCACCTGACCGCCAAGCACCCTGGCATAAAAGACAAGCCCCTGGAGTATTTTGAAAGAAAAAAACGGGAGCATGAAGCACAGAAGATATTTATGAGGGCCACCACATCAATAAAGGAGAATGCACTGAGAGCATCATATTTGGTGGCTAACCGCATTGCTAAGCCTAAAAAGCCATTTACTATTGGTGAAGAATTGATCTTGCCCTCCACTAAAGACATTTGCCGTGAACTTCTAGGAGAGGCTGCTGTGGAAAAGATAGCACATGTGCCTTTGTCAGCTAGCACTGTGACTAGGCGCATTGAGCAAATAGCCGAAGACATTGAGGCACAATTGTTGGAGAGGATTAATACATCACCGTGGTATGCACTCCAGGTTGACGAATCTACAGAGATCGACAACAAGGCACTACTACTTGTTTATGTGCGATATCTATATCAGGAGGATGTGCATGAGGATTTGTTATGTGCACTATCTTTGCCAAACAACACCACAGGAGCAGAACTGTTCAAGTCACTGGATGGTTATATATCAGAAAAACTGAAATGGTCCTTTTGTGTCAGCATATGCACAGACGGAGCTGCTGCCATGACCGGACGACTGTCTGGTTTAACTGCTCGGATTAAGGAGGTTGCACCTGAGAGTGAATCTACGCATTGTCTCATTCACAGGGAAATGCTGGCAAGCCAAAAAATGTCACCGGAATTTAACAGGGTATTGATGGATGTCGTTGAAGTTATTAACCACATCAAAGCACACGCACTTAACTCGCGCCTGTTTGAGCAGCTTTGTGAGGAGATGGATGCAGAGTACAGATGCCTTCTCTTATACACAGAAATCAGATGGTTATCCAGAGGAAAATCGCTAACCAGAGTATTTGAATTACGAGAGCCATTGCAAAGATTTCTCTCAGAAAAGAAGTCACCGCTGGCAGCACATTTCAGTGACAAGGTATGGGTCACAAAACAGGCTTACCTGTGTGACATATTCAGCCTGCTCAATGAACTCAATCTGGGCCTTCAGGGGAAAATGGCAACTGTTTTCAAGTTGTCAGACAAAGTAGCTGCATTTAAAGCCAAACTGGAGTTGTGGGGACGGCGCGTGAAGAGAGGCATTTTGGACATGTTTCAGACATTAGCAGGGATTGTAGGCGAGACTGAGCTTGAACATTCATTCTGCCAGTTGGTGCACGATCACCTGTCTTTGCTTTAAAAGAGTTTGAGCGCTACTTCCCAACCACAAAAGACCCACGAACTGGTAAGGAATGGATCCGCGACCCATTTGCCAACAAATCAGGCGAATCTAGCATGTCTATGCAAGAAGAAGAACAACTGCTGAAAATTGCAAATGACGGTGGCCTTAAGCACCACAGCACTTAAATCCCTATTGCCATTTCCGACAACCTATCTGTGTGAAGCGGGGTTTTCTGCAGTGACAGCAACCAAAACAAAACAACGGAATAAACTGGACATAAGCAACACACTTCAGGTGTCATTGTCTCCTATTACCCCCAGATGGAACCGTCTCGTTGCAAAGAAACAAGCTCAGGGTTCTCATTGATTTGGCATTCTAGTGAGTTAAATAAAATAAATCACTTTATATTCATTTTTTTGGTGTAGCTGTATTTTATTTTGAAGGCATGTTTAAATACAATTAAATTAAAATTATTAAATCAAAACAAGCGGGCCACGGAAAAATTATCAAACATTTACCGGTCCGCGGCGATAAAAAGGTTGGGGAGCACTGCACTAGCCTTCCAAGATCAGGCCATTGTCACTGATTTTAAGCAAATTACATTTAATGGATTTCCAACACTTGTGAAAGAGCCAAATATCCTATCCAAGCTCAAGCAAGAAGGAAAGGAGATGGTTATGGGACTAGGTAGTAAGATGGTTGATATTGTGTGTGGCAACCCTGATAATATTTGTATAGTTGTATAACTGATAATTCTGTCATTTTACTATCACATCATCTCTGTATCATTTGCTTGAACATAAGTAGCCTCCTGCATCAGGGTTCCTGATCATGTTGAGAGGTCTCCTCATGTTCAAGCAAATGCATATCAAAGGCCCCTGTAGACTTTTCTTCATTAACTTCAGGGTGGTCAGCGACCATACATTCCAGTTCCTGGGAGTCAAGGCAGTTTCGCAGCCCCCCGGGTTATTTTTGAGGAGGCTTGCCCCCCTCAATGTTCAGAGGGTGTTTGGCTCCACCCCCTGGCTCCTTACAACTTCACACACACAATGTCATAAAGCCACACATGTCACATGCACAACATCAGGATGTCGTGCACATGACATCTGGACATTGTGCGTGTGGCATCAGGATGTTGTGGCAGGCCCCCTCAATCAACTTGAGAAGATGGTGCTTCTGTCAGGGACTGAGGAGTGTGTGTCATGTGGTGGCTTATGGGGAGGGGTTTGCAGAAATGCTCCTTCCACTATCCATACTTTGAGCATGCACCTGAACATGCTGTAAGAAAGACAGAGCTAAGTAGAGGAAACCAGAGGAAAGACTTTAGATATTGAATTTATATTTTTTAAAAAGTTTATAATTACACTCATGATTTACAAATTGATACTCTCAGTTACAAATATATAAATGTTCAACGTTGCTAAGCCTCAGATCTGGCACATTGGAGCACTGCATGCAGTTGAGAACAGGTGACATACTGCATATTACACGTATATGATTTCAGTTCCCTACAAGAAGCTGAATGGGTGAGTGAACTCCCATCAAAAAGCATTGTGTTTGAGATGCTATGGAAGTTCTGCCTGTGATATTACAGTCACCAATAGCACATTTCTGTGTCCAAGCCATCCGTTCATATCAGTCATGATGAGATTGCATGCGTGTATCAGGCCTATGTTTCTTAGCAGCCTTCAGTTTTCAAATGGTGTGCACCTCTTCCACTGCCAGCCTGGCTGAGGAGCCCCCTCCAACTCAAGGACTATCAATAACTTGTTGCCTGGGGAGCAGGTATCACCACCATGTCTGGCTGCAGGGAGAGGGAAATGATATACCCATGGACTGTTGTGGGTGATTCCAAAAGTGACAAATCCACAGGCTTATTCCTGTTGCGGTTGCCTTTTTTGGTTGCAGTAAGGCTGGGATACCACCTGTTTTACACATTTTTAATGTGGGAGTCCTGAAGGAGATTGGAATGGAAAGATATGGTAACAGAGTATCATGGGCCAGGAGTCAGCTTCTCCTGTTGAACAGCAGCCTGAAGGGGGGAAAGGTGGAATGACTCCACCTGAAGACTGCAGCTGATCAGCCTTCAAGGACACAGAGAAGGCACTGATGAGAACCAGCTGACTTCAGCCTTCTTAAACAGATCTCTCAGCAGCAGCCAGATGCTGGAAACAATGTCTGTGGTTGCCAGCCCCACCTTGCTGCTGCCTGCTCTCCATGAGGACCTTTGGCTCTGTGAGCATCTGGACTGTCTATGTGGCTTGCCACCTGCTCCTTAGATGTAGATTCTTCTTCAGATGTGGATTCTGGTTTCAGGTCAGTGATCCTTGGAGACTCCTAGTCCCTGCTTGCTCGGCAATGAGATATGGATGGGGCTACAACACAGAGGGGCATGGCTATGTTTCTAAGTGAGAGGCAGAATCATCGGACAGGTGTGAATTATTTTTGGTTGAGAAATAGTGGGTGATGCTTGTCTGAATATTTGTTCTTTTCCTTTACTTTTTTTTTTTACCTTAATCTCATGTTTTTTATCTACGTTGAGGCTTCCTCTCCTGCGTATTGGTTTATTTGCTGCTGATTCATTCCATTGCTTTTTTGTAAATTTTTGTATATTAATTCCTTTTAATAGCATTTTATGGACTTTGAAAGACTGGTACTTGTTTTGTAATATGTTTTACTTACGGTACTATTGATAGGAATAGTTATTATATTGATTCTAATGGATTTAGCTTATCAGGTCATGTGCTGTGTTTGGGTCACAGTTGTGCCTCGGTTGTCCTTTTTCTTCCTGCAGGACTCATTTTGCAAGTGGAACAAGTTATCCTCACTTATTCAGACAGCCTAGCAGCTTATTCAAGCAAAGCATTAACTCCAAGGGGAAAGATATATTTTGACAGTATTTGCTAGTGGTGGCGGTGGTGACTCATCTATGCAATGTAACATTTGGTTTAACAGAATACTTGAAATTGCCCCTGAATGTTTACAAATACGAGCAAAGGCAGATCAACTGAAAAACAGCCAGGCTTGAGTATGTTATAGGATTTAAGTGGGTGATTATAAAGTGGCTGCATGAACCATCAGGCTGAGAAGGGAAAGTGTAAAAAAGAAAAAATAATACAGTTTCAAAGCTGTTCCTCTCCACCTTCTCTGGGAGGATGACTAATCAGAGATCAAGTATGGCAGAATGTTGCATTAAGAGCATGAAAAATAGAAAATCAAATACTAAATAAGCAAATTCCTGTCTCACCTACAGTCTTCTTTCTAAATAAGTTTAGAAAAATGAACAGGATTACGCTTCTGAGAAGTGGTGTTTACTTTTTATGATGTTTTTCTGCTTCAACAATATTGCATTACGCTCCTATCATATTATAGAAGTCATGTTTCACCTTCAGTGCTGTTTTAGACTCAAAACTATTTTTCTGTCCTGTTAGCTAAATTGTAAGTTTTTTCTCTCCTACAGATGGTTTGGACTCATTGCTTTGGGCACTGATGTTAGTACACACGTTCCATTGTGGGGAAATATGAATGAGTTTCTCTTTGGACTTTGCACTTGAAGTATGAAAGGAAGATGCAGGAATCATTCATTATACATCTCTCCTATATCTACGTATATAGCAGTATTCTCTCTTAAAGCAGGTTACAAACATACTCCGGAGGTGTGGGGAGGCATGTTAAAAATCCTGAAGTCAGTTTGTACAGGCTAAGTTGTGCTAAGCAGGCAGTGGGCCAATTCCTCAAGCATCAGTGCCTTTGTGGATATTTGTCAGTAGTCAAATACTAGGTGGTCAAGTTGACCAGCAAACTGACTTCCCTGCCACTGTGTGGGTGAAGAAATTCTCTCTTTTTTAAAAAAAAATCACCCCCCCCCCATAATTTTTATTATTTTTTTCCAAATATCTTAAACACAATACAGCTTAACAATATTATTCTCCTTTAAATCTATATCTTATCTGAGTTAACTTCCCTCCACCCCTCTTCTGGCTTCTCTACATTGCTCTTGCTTAAGCGTGATTACTATATATACATTCTATAAGTGTCTATAATTCCTTAATAAATTTTTGTATTATACTTTAGACATACATTCCTTATTATAATACAGCATTACATCTTGTGGTCTAACAAATATTTACAATAAACGTTATGAGTTTTATTTTAGTCCTGTGAATGTCTTTATTCATGTACAGTTTTCTCTAAGTATACCATAAATTTGGACCATTCTTTTTGGAATTTCTCATTGTCCTGCTGTCGGATTCTTCCAGTTAGCCTTGCTATTTCCGCATACTCCAATACTTTCTGTTGCCATTCTTCAATTGTCGGGATATCCTGTTGTTTCCATCTCTGTGCAAGGAGTAGTCTTCATGCTGTTGTGGCATACAAGAAGAATTTCTGATCTAGCAAAAATGCCTCCGGTTTTTTATAAAAGGTGTACCTAAATATCTTTTTTTAACTCATTATACACACTATCCCAAAAAGTCTTCATGCCACTTTGGAATTTTAAATTTCTGTTTCTTGAAAAAAAAATAGAAATTTAAAATTCCAATGTCTAGAAAGAAACACATTCATAATTGAACTATTCTAACATAGAATGATACAACCAAAACTACTGTTTCAATTTCTAAATTGCAGAAAGATACAATACTTTTTAAAATGTAGCATAGCTTCTGTTGCGTGGACAGGCGGAGTCCCCAGATCCCGAGCAGTCCCCCCTGTCATGTGGAATAACGACTCAAGACAACGTGCTATGGGATTAAATTGGCCACAACTTTATTAAATTTCAAATGTGGGTAGACCTTGGCTCAGGCATTGGGCATTCTCCCTCCCCAGTCCCCAGCCGGGGACCTAGGGAGCTTCAGGGTTATCCAGTGGGGGGAGGGATGGGCCAGCTCTGGAGAACATATGTTCAAGCAAGCAGAGATAGCCGCCCCCGTTACGCCGCCGCCGCAGGGGAGAGCAATGATGACCTTTTGGTGTACGGTCAAAGCCTCCCTTCAGAAACCCCTTTAACGGGGAACCCTGGT